TGGCACTCAGTGTCAACGTGAAATCCAAAACCAATTCTAAGTTCACGGTGTGGTCCAGATCCTTTTCACCACAGCCATTATTCATGGCAGGCTAGGACTTTAGATTTATTGTCTCCAGTCATTTTTAATACATAGCCACTTCTGATGAGAATTCAAATGGTTTTGAATTCTGATATCTTCAAATCGATTGTAAATTCAAACCCGGTATAGGAAGCTGCCAATATAACAGGATGAGCACTGACTGGCCAGATATCAGGAGAAAAGAAGCTCCTCAGAAGCACAGGGGTCCTGGACACAGAAATAGATTGCTTCGGGACCTTCCACTCATAGCTTTTCCACTTTTGAATTATTAAGTATCCAAAGATTCTGAAGTGCATACACTTGCTGGTCTATTAAAGATGCTTTTTAAAAAAAAAAGCTAACTTCTTTTTTAAGCTTTTTGTGCTTTTTTGTGCCCGAGTAGGCATTTGTTTGTCTTTCTTGAGATAAACTTACTGTGAATACAGCAACATAAAAACAGAGTGATGTTAGTTTCATAATCATCATGGAGGTAGGCTTTTACGATGGAAAGGGCTCTGAAGTATCAAGGTATCTTGAGATTTATTCAGAATAGTGCTACAGGTACAGTTTATCACATCTTGAGATGTTACATACAGGAAACGGTCACATTGTAAATTGTGAAATAACCCCAAAACAAGCAACAAAAAAAACACAAAAAAAATGAAATTGCATTGCTGTCCTTAAGGCATCCAGTATTACTTGACCAAAGTGACAAGTGGTAGTTTTCTTGTTTTTATGCCTGTGCCTTTTTAAGTAGGGAATTTAAGTGTGCGTGGTAGATCACGCTGAACACCACTGTGGCCAAACACGTTCCGGAGTGAGTTGATTCTGTTGGATGACCCCTTTCTGTTTGTTCTTGTGTGTTTGTGGTTGTGTGTCAGAGGCACACATGATGGGGCCCCTGCCATGACAATGCAGTCAGAAAAAAAAAAGAAGCTTTTTAGGGTCACTGCTAATCTAGGACTGTTAAGCTCTTGGGAATAATGGAGGACATATAAAGGGAACGACCCAAAAAGGAAGAATTTGTACTTTAATTAAAAACATTCAGAAAACCCTACTCCTCCGCTTGGGGCCCTCTTATTGGTGCTATTCCACGCCTCAGCAGTGCTACCGGGGCTAACTGAGACCCTGCTATGCTCTTTGGGCTGGAACTAAGCCCTTTTTTACCCGATCAGCTCTCTGCGGACACGCATAGCTGTGAAGGACAGAGTTGAAGTGGTACAACCTTTGGCAAACACCCAGCTGCTCCACTAATAGGCAAACAAACAAGCTAGCCGTTCCTCTTTCTCATCCACCGTCCCCAACTGCGACCTCTCACACCCTTAAGGCCATCCGATGGTGGCCATAACAGCATTGTCACCGACGGCCTGAAAGATTATTGTCCTATTCTATTCGCCTTATTCAAAGAGCGTAATTCCTTCACCATTCAGGCCACTCTTATCTGTAAATACCAGCATGCGGCCTCCAAGCTTGGGTTTTTGTCTTTCTCGCCCCACTTTTCTGCCTGTCTGTGCCTGCAGGCTCTTGGAGCTACAAGTGTATCTGCAGAGGAAAGCTCAACCGAGTTAAGATTTTTGTCCCCTCTGGCTCTGCTGGCCATGTTCACACATGCCGCAGATCCCAAAGCTGCTGATTAGTAAGCAAATCTTCTCAATTTTGTGTATTAGTTTATCTGTTTTTAATACAGCCTGAGTAATAAAAACATCTTATTGGGCAGTTGCTTAAGAATTTCACACAGTGGTGACAAATAAGAGCATGGATTTTTCTGTCCATTCATACATTTTCTAAACCTGCTTAATCCAAAACATTGTCATTGACGCTATTCCAGCAGTCACTGGGTAAGTAGCAGGTTCAAAACTGGATAGGGGCGCTCAGTTTAAGGGTAACATAGAAAATAACAACCGTGCACACTCATAAGCAAGAAGAATATTATTTGTTTTCAGAGAAATTATTTGAATAATAAAAATAAATGTTTAAATAATTTAAACTCCCATTCTTTCTCTCTGCTTTCTTCCTGATCTGCATCCCATATATATTTTCTTACTAATACTTAGGCTCTAAAGCATCAAAGAAATTGTTCCATAAATCACCATTTTAATAAAAAGCGTCATTAAATATAAGATGTCTCTAATTACATGATTCACCACATTTGTATACATATTTCTTTATAAAGACCATTGGCACTGCAAAGTGCATTTGTAGATAAACTCTTTGATTTCTTCTTTATTGCACACTACTTATTCAACACTGTCATCTCCCATGACTGTACCATTACACATAAGAGTTTCATTGCTGGAAAGATATTTGCTGTCACATAATGCCATCACACCAACATTAATGGGTGTGTGGACTCGGGGTCCAAGAGTATTTGAAGCCAAAAACTAGAGGATGAGAACCCATGGAGATCCCATGTCTATGTTGTTAATGATGTCCAGTTTTTCGTACTTGATGTTCTCAAGCAAAAGAGTCTTGTTGCTTAATCCCAGATACCGTCTTAATCATCTACTCTTTCTCCTCCCAGTGCTGTGCTGTTTTTCCCAGAATCAGTTACTAGTCAACTTAATTTTCCTAAGCACAAACCTAATCATTAGTGTAGCAGCTGCTGTGAAACAAACAGACTGCAGGAGAGTGAACTCACTGAAACTTCATATCAAAGTAAATAAGACATAATTTTGGTTTGATTTAGGGCCAAGCCATGCAGTTATTTTTGTCTGAAATGAGTCCGTTTTTAGTTACTGATCAAAGTAATGTAAACTTGACCTTTGAATATAGACACAAAGCTGTAATGCTACAAGAGATGCTTTTGTTAAAATATATTAAAAATGTTTTTAAATAAAAAATGCAACAAAACAGGAAAATAAGAGAAAACAACCTAATAGAACTGGACTCAGAACAAGAAAAAACCTCAGATAAATAAACAGACATAATGGACAAAAATCACCTCACTGCATGGATACAAACTTAAATACTAGTTTAGTTAAACCATCTATAAGAGTAGGGGGGAACTCAAAATGACCGGCTAATCATGGCTAGCACAACTAGTGATGCTGGCCGCAGCATATGGAAGTCCTAGGTCACCAACACATCTTTTGCTGCACCAGAAAGGAGAAGCCCAGGTAACCTTCAAACCCCAGGTAAACCCAGGGAAGAAAAAAAATAGTGTTAATACAAGACAACTCAAATTAATTGAATATACCACAAAATTCACAACATTTTTGTATAGCAAATAGCACTGTATTACAAAGTGCCCACTTGGAGGCTGAAATGGAGGCTTGCCAGAGAAACTTGGATTTCTCTGGCAAGCATTTCCTCAACCCTCACAACTAACTTAACTGTTTCTATTAGCCTTACTTTTTGCTCACACAAAGCTAACAGGATGACTGCGTTTGAAGTTTCCTCTGGTTCTTCTTTCTTTTTGTCCCGCTGTCTCGTCAGTAGACATTTATTCTCCCGCTACACATTTAGTAGATATACTTAGACATGAGTTAAATTAGAACAGTTTCTGAATTGTAGGATATTTTTTAATATTTGAATTGTTTCATTTGTCCATCAGACAGCCTTTTATTAATTCCTCAGAATTCCTCATGTGAAAGTTTACACGTCCTGCTCAGTAATATTGACACACTGCATAAAATCATTTAAAAAAGATTAATTTGTGTTTTGTAGGCTGCTGTTTTCTAGCACCTATAATATGATAAAATCATGTCCTTTCAAGATGAAAAGATAATCCTATGTTGTGCTTCATTCATTGTATTTGCACGCGATAGCATCAGCCTTAAATTCCAAAACAAATGTATTTAATCTTGATGAAATTCTATTTGATACACAGCTAAGAGGCATAATTATCCTGGTGTCTGTCAAAGATGATTTTATGACAGGAGAGTGATTATCTGTGCGTATTACCCCGCACTGTTAACCTCTTACTAAAAGGGGCCCGGTAGGATTGTAGGGCCTGAGCTGATGATGACAGGTTGAGATGGATGTTTACCTTGGGGGACAATATTGGAGGCAAAACCTTCACGATGACTTCATTTTTCCCCTCCTTACCTGTCTGCTAACGCTTCCCTCAGCAGAAAACAAAACCTCTTATCATGTCAACCCCACAGGCAGTTGGAATTTTTCTCCCGATCCCGTCAACATGGCAGACACCTCAACTCCATGCCTGACTGATATGTGACAAAATGCGAAGATTTCTGGGTTGACAAGGAGGGCATTTGTTTGTTTCAGTCTCTGCCAGATTGTTTAATCTTGTTGTGGAATAAGTCATGTTGTAGTTGTTTATGTTCAAATAGTAAATCTGACTATTTTTCTTTGCCGTCAGTTGACATTTTCTTTACACTTCTTGTGAATCGGGGACATTGAGTTTAGCAGATTTTTTTAGTTTGTTTGAGTATTTTCGTTCTTAATGGAAGGGAAACCAGCTAGTCTTCAATTCGTGAAAATCTCTGTCCACCTGTATTCCTTCTTCTACAGGCAGACCTTTTAGTTTACACGAAGCAATGAGATGGCCAGACTTTTCACAACAAATGCACAACTTGGCCTCGACTTGTCTGTTGTTCTTCTGGATTGAGAAAGGTTCTGCCCATCTGCATGGGCTCCTGTTCTTAAACTGTTTGCCTGACTGATTCAGGAACAATGGATGAATGTAGAGGCTTGGAGCTCTTGTAGGGAAGATTTTCTAGTCCTTTCTTTCAGTTTGTTATCCATCTTAACAGCAAGGTGAATAAGTTCCTCTACAATCTCTGGTTCATCTAATAAAATTGTATCATTGTTTGATACAGTTGTAAGGTGAAAAAATCAAAACTAAAAATGCAATATTCAATGCACTTTCAGAGAGAAACTTCAGTCAAGGTGCAGAAGTCAATTACAAATTCAGCTACAGTGTGTTGTGTTTGTTTAATTTTCCACAAACTATATCAAAAGTCTAGATCAAAAGTGGTTCAAAAGTGGTTCTTTAACTCCTGAAAGGAGCAGCTGCGGTCTGGTGACTCTAGAAGTGGTTTTCTGTCCATTTTAAAGCCTTGCCAATTAACCCCAGAACATGAAATTTTGGCATTATCAGAAAAGAATGTAAAGAAAGAATTTAATGGCTCGGTTAAACACCAGCGAGCATTGCAGCAGAAACCCTCCAGCTCTGCCCAACTCACTTGTAAACCTTTCAGAAGTAGGAGACGTGACATCATGGAAGGCAGTTGGATTTGAGATAGGAGTAGTGGGCTTAGCGGAGTCCTCTGGCGGTGGAGGGCTTGCAGGAGGTCTCTGGAGAGACTTAGAAATCTGATCCCAGTGTTGATTAGTGGAACTCTTGTGTTCACTAAGGATCTGGAAATGGAGATTGAATTACAGAGGTTTGCTCTGAGCAAGAGCATTGACTGCTCTCGAAGTGAGTGTTGAGTGTTCTGTCATGGCTTTGTCCAATCTTTTGACCATCGTGCACAAAACGCTTGTGAGGAACTGTCCAATTGAAAGGTTTATTGAACAGGCAATAGATAGCCTATTGATCAGTTGAGGAAGTCCAGATACTTGGAACAGTGGCTTCACAAAGAGAGAGGGATGTGAACAAGGGCTGTAAAGAAGGAACCGGTAGAAAAGATAGTCCTTTCTTTTAGATGACTGATTAAGTCCAGAGGAGGGGAGAGGAATCCGGGGTGAGTATCCTGCATGGAAAGTGCCAGGAGGACACTATCTTTTGGGGACCAGTATAGTAGGGAGAATGTTGGAGGGTGGACAGGAGAAGGTAGATCCCTGGAAGACACAGGCTCCATGGTCATGAAAATCCCAAAGGCTACATTTTCCCTGAGGAATTCTCAGAAGATGTCTATACATGGGAAAGTTCTCAAGATTTCAAGGGATTTCCAGAAGGTTCCCGGAGGAGACATAAAAGTTAACAAGTTTGTTCACAATTTAGGATTAAGGTTAGGTTTACCACAAGGTTCAACACTCAAGCGTAGAAGGAATGGCAGCCAACTTCTGATATACTGCTTCTGATAATCGCACCAGCATGTAGTTCCAACCTCCAGGTACTGGTTCCACGGTACCCTCAGGTGGACCTGGAAAATGACACTGAACACACAAGGTCTCTGACATTTGCCCTTTGGTAACAAAGGTAGTATGCCTTTTTAACCAAAGGGTTTTTATCGAACTAAGGGGAAGAATAGAAGCAAATTTCTGTTTGCTTTGTCTGTGAATGGACATTAGTTGACGGAATTTAAGATATCAGCTTTTGAGTCTTTCTAAAAGACCTCAAAATTGCACAGCTTAAAAGGCAAGAGAGGTGGATTGTAAGTTCTCAGAGTGCTTTTCTTAAAAAAGATAAAACAGGAAATAATAATAACAATGTAAGCCACTTTTCTGCTTAATAGGATTTCTGATATTTAGGGCAGAATTAATTCCTAACTAAACAAACTCTGACGCTGTGATCAGCTCTGGCAGCCCAGGTGATTGTTTCATTTGAGAACAAATGATGGGTTACTAAAGGAGGATGTCCAATATTTATTTTAACTGTTGTCTCATTGCCTCAGCGAAGTGGCTCTTTTGTCTTGGTCACTATGGTGGGCTGTATAGAGGCATTGATTTGTGTGCTGAAGTGGAACATTTTTAAAATTCCTGCAAGCGCAATAAAAAAGAAACCTGGAAGCAATTCTATGGATTAACTATAAATTGTTTGGGAGGTATTTGTTTTTATAAATGTCCAGTTGTTAATCTCCTTAGCTTGAGTACAGCCGATAAAACAGTACCTGTGTTTTGTTGTCTCCAGTTTTAGATGCAGTTTACTCTCTTTTTCAGGGTTAAGTTGCATCTGTAGGTCCAAATTTGAAGCAAATTTTTAAAATGCCATAAGAGGAATAGTGGAAATGGTTTTAATATATTCATTGAATCAAAATAGAGTCAAACAGCATTATGTCAAAGTTCAATTTAACTATGGTTTGAGGTTGCGTCACTCTGATAGCGCTGTTCAAGGAATGAGAAAATCTCATTTCCATGTCCCATCATTCCTGCTATTAGCTTGGTGCCCCCATCGGCTGAATCAGCTCCCCTGCTTGGTGACACCTGCTGAGTATTTGACAGCTGGCTTTGGTGGACTGTCTTGGATTTCTTTAACTTTTTACCCCCTAATGCTGCTGTTCTCAGGGGCGTCTTTTGATTAGTGACAGAGTGACATGCTGCCTATGTCCCGGCCGGATAAGGGAGCCAGGAAAAAGTTTTTTGGGGTTGTTATTTTTTCCTGAATTCCCACAGTGATTTTTTGTAGTACTTTTTATATTTGATAATCTGTGTGTGTGTGTTTTGTGTTCAATTAATTGAATAAATGTTTGATTCAAAGTGATTCTGTTTGTTTTGAGTTTCCGCAAGTGGGTCCAGCAGCCGTGGACCATAACACTAATTTGCCTAATTGGGTAGAGACATTTTAGAATAAATAGCTTTTCATTCAATTTCACAATGTTTAAGACCAAAGTAACACAGCTAATGGATTTCTTTTTTATATTATTTGTACTTGATTTGTTTTTTCTAAAGAATTGGCAAATAACTGTGAAACTAAACTTGAGAAAAGTTTAAAATGAAATAATATACCCCTGCAGAGAATAGGACAATATGTAAAAATATTGAATATGTACAATAAGCCAAAAATGAAAAGAATGCCCGATGGGTTTAGCCTTTTTCTATAAGAACAGAATAAAAGGGATGATTTCCCAATGAGGTATTTGCAATTACGAAAGTGACTTTGTACATCTAAGAGTACAAAGACAAAGAAAATCCCATCTAACCAAACCCCCCAAATAGAACTGATCTTTGCTTAGCAGTGTCTGAGCCCCTTAGGACAGGTTAACAGGACAAAACTGCACTATAAGAAATCCTTTTAAATTGAAATCTTTTAGATTTAAAGGCTCTCCCTCTTTTGCATCATAGAGTGAGGAAAACTCTTATTTAACCGGCATTATGCTGTCAAAAGAAGCATCAGAAAAGTCAGAGGGTTCTCATGCTTCGGTAGCCAATGCAGATTTTATAGTGCATAATAAATAAGTATTACGCAATAATACTGGAGGGACAGTAACAGCAGGCAATTAGTTTTACCCAATGCCCTGCACCTCCACGTCTACGCATAGTGACACAGATCATTTATATCGTCCACTGAAAATAGAATAGTAGTCTTGCATGGTGCTAGGCCTAAGCAGACCCTTAAGCTTCGGCTGGCGATGGATTTGGAAATGTAAACAGACCTGCAGCTCTCCTATTGTCTTGTGGCCACCTCCTACCTACGCTTACAGGCACTCAGGGCTTGCAGTCAATAAACTGACCAATGCCTCCTCCTCACTATCTACTCAAATGTATTTTTCTCCTCTCATGACCTCTCTTTCGTCCAGCTAACTCCTCAGAATTTTTCAAAGGAAGACATTTTTAATAGTTGAAAGATGTTGCAAAGGTTTCTTATGATTATGTGATGCACTGTTTAGTTTTTATTTTGGTATTTGCCGCCACTTTTTCAAAATTCAAATCTCAAAGCCTTTTTATTTTTGTCATTCTTGTTTTATCAATTACCGTCCAGGGTCCATTGACTACTTGGACAGCCTCCAGTACCCCCGCGACCCCATTTGGGAATAAACGGTTCAGAAAATGGACGGATGGATGTTTTATTCATTGACTTAGGTCTCTTAATTTCTTTCAAAACAGGAAAAATGTATGATTGTCATATACAGATTATTATTTATCCTGTGTGGTGTCATCCAACACTGGAACTGAAATGTAATTAATTTTATGAAAACTCAGTTCAATCCAGTTTGACACATATTAGAGATAAAATAATATAAGAACTTTATTGATGCCTCTTACAAAATGTTGTGCAAGGGTTTCAATACAAAAGGAAAGAAGAGGAATCACACAAAATATATAATAACATAGTGATATGAAATTAACTTGGCACAAATTGCAAATGTACAAATATACAGCAAATAAAATAAGATACGGACAGTATCTTAAAATGTGTTTTGCAGTGCAGGATTGATTGTTATTGTCTTATTTGGAGAAAGGGGACGAATTGAAAAGTTCCATCGCCACAGGGAATTTTTTTTCTTTTTTTTTTGGAGCACCTCTGTGGTCTCAGTCTATGACTGAAGGCGCTACAGTCGGAGTGTGTCAGTGTGGCATGCAGGGGGGTGTAACGTGTTGTTTGGGATGTGGAGCAAAAATTCCCGAAGGTGTCCTCTCGTGGCACTTACAGGATACCAGCCTGTTCAAGTTATTTATAACCCAATTATTTTTGGTCCAGACCTTGCTTAAATCAAACCCCAAATTAGTCCAGTTCATGTAACACATGGCATTGAAACATATTTTTAAATCACTTTCACTGTCCTGAGTTGATGTGAGTTAAAACATATCTGACCCAGAAAAGAAAAACAAAGAGTAAATATGCAAGAAGAACAACTGCTTTGATTATTTTTTGGTAATTATCTCGTGTGGTTGAAATAAAAACACACAAGCTTTCATGTTAACATAATTAACTTGTATAAGGCAGCCAATAGTCTTTCCATTGTTAACCTGTAGACATAATTTATTAGAGAAAAAAACAGACTTGAAACGTTGTACAGACCTGCACCAGCACAGCTCCTCCTTAAATTTCTTCTGAAGAATAATTATATTTTTTGTTTTAAGAAAATGGTCTGATACTGGGCACTCATCTTTTATTTCTCACCCATCAGCCCCCTCCTTCTCTACACTTTCCACGGCAGTTTGCTGACTGCTCTTTGTTCTGAGGAATGTTCTCATTCTTTGTGTAGTCAGTCCTCTCTGTCTCAGGTCTGTTGGCAGATGGCCAAGACCACCAAGTTTCCCTGCGACTACAAACAATGCACTAAAAAAATCGCTGATAGCTTTGAAGGAAGACAGCCCTCTGATGCATCATTCTCACCTGCAGGCACTCGCTGGAGTCAGTTGGTCTAGTCACATAATCTATGTATTAATCTATGTATTCTCTATTTCACATTCTCTGGTTTGGAGACTAAATCTTTTATTTAGACTTTGATCGTGACAACCTTTGTATATCCTTTTACCTTAATTGCGCCATTAAAGCAGGACATCCACTAACAGTTCTTGACTTTTACTGTAATATAAACCTCGTAGTAGAAATGTATTGCTTGGCATTGTTCTTTGATAGATAGTTCACCAGGAACTGTCTCTAATTTGTAGCTGTTATTCGCTTTGGGGTTATGATGCTTCACATTTAACTTTAAAATCCTGCAAAGACATTTGAGTCAGTTGACATATTCTGCCTAAACTTAAGATATACAATAATATGCATACAATAAATCAGCTGCAAACATGGCATCCCATATTATCAACCCCTATTTCTGTCTGTTGGTGCTTCAACTACACATTTAGTGTCTTAGTGATGGAACTAGCACCTGAACCCAAGAGAATGACTCTGAAACAAAGACTCAAAATAAAACGTTTTCTATTTTAAAGGCAAGAGCAAGAATTCAATAGTAACAAATTGCATACAGAAAATCACTCTTTCAATCTCGAGAGTGAATAACAAGGTAGAAAAATAGCACAAGATATCAAAACCTGACAAGACCGGGAACTTGACATGAAATCTTGGGACGAACTGGCACAAAACAAAGGAAAAAGCCAACTATCTAGACAGACAAATGGCAGAACAGGTGGAACACACATTAGAGCGGGACAGCCAATCGAACCAAATGGTGAAACAAGAGGAAGGGTAGGTAACCTGAAACGAAGAGGAAATGTATAAATCAAAATAAAAATGGAGGTCACAAGACAACATAACCACAAGACAGAAATAAACTAAACATGACTTTGGAGACATGACACTTAGACCGAGAAATCAAGTAAAGTTGTCTCAGCTCCATCTAACCACTTTGGCTACATTTACTTTATCACACTGAAGTGATTTAGTTTTTTCTCTTTGTTTTGATGTGTTATTCTGGATCTATGACGATGCTAGTTTAATAAAGAATAGGTTACTAACATACAGTATATATGAACAAAAACTAGTTTAGCACTGATATTAATAGCAAATAAATTGGCAAAACCT